TCCTTGGCAGCTGTATTCTAGAGTCTGGTTGTTGCTCTGTAAAGACCTTTAATAAAATCTTGTACAAAGGTTAAAAAAAAAAAAAAAAAAAAAAAGAATGGTCTGATTAAGACATCAGTGAAAGAGAAAAGAAAGCGCTGTATAATGAAAAGAATACAGGGCTAGAAATCAGGGGAACAGAATTCTGGTCCCTTATCTTACCTAAGGCTATGTGCCTCTTCATGTTTGGGTCTCAGTAATTTCTTTTTTTTGTTCATAAGCAACTGGTATTGAGTATTTCAGCAGCAGCAGCAGCTTTTTTTTTTTTTTAAATGGCTACAGGTTGAGTATCCCTTATGCAAAATGCATGGTACCAGAAGTGTTTGGGGTTTGGGATTGTTTGGATTATACTTGCTGGTTCAGCATTCCTAATCCAAAATCCAAAATGTTCCAGTGAGCATTTCCTTTGAGCATTATGTTGGTGCTCAAAAAGTTTCAGATTTTGGAGCATTTTGGATTTTGAATTTTTGCATTAGGACTACTCAACCTGTACTAAATGTTCCCCAAATCAGAAAATAATACGTTGGATAAAATGACACCTAACATAGTTATCCTTTAACAAGACACTGTATGTTTAATCCTGCCTCCCAATATGAGCTTTATAAGTGGTTTACAACTGCTCTGTGTGTTTCTTATTTTCCCCCTTATGCCGTTTTAAACTTGAAAGTCCTCCACGGGGAACAAGGTGATGTGATCAAAATTATATTTCTATTTTTCCTGAAATGTTACTTGCTCCTCTCTGTTGTGACCTAGAAACTGGTGACTGGCCTCTTCCTTTTTCATGAAGTGGAATGGCTCATTTTACAAGTAATATTTGTAAATATTTCTATACAATACACATTTTTAATATGACTTTTTCTTGTGTTACCTATTCAGTGCTCAGGTATTAGAAAATATTAGTCAAGAGAGTTTTAGTGTTTTAACAGTTTAAAAGATCCTTTAAAAATGTAAGTTTACAAAAAATAATGAAGGACAACTATACATATGGTTATACTTGAAAAGTTTAAGTCATTGCTTATACACATATGTGTATAGGTATTGATATTTATATTAAATATGGGATTTTAAACTTAAGTTTTAAAAGAAGTCTATAAATCCTTGTCACTTAGTTTCTAATTGTAGGAAATGAACAATATTTATTGGGCTAGGACAGTATATCAGTTTTTAGTTTAGTAGCTTATCATTACTTACGTTTTTATAGAGGGCCATTTTTGCCTGAATATTCCTGAGTACTTGAATAGTTCTTGAGCTATTGCTTTTAATTTTTTTCTTGCTTTGTTCAGATTTATTTTACTTTAACCAAATGCTTCTTGTTATAGCATAGTAGAAAGTTAAATAAAAAAGAGGGGCGGGGCCAAATGTATTTGTAACAATGTGGGTTTTAAGCCTTCTTAAAACAAAAGGAAACAAAATATTGCCGAGGAACACAAAATCAGTGTTTGTGTGGAAAGGTGGAAGCAAGTAGATAGTATTTTTACTTTGACTTGCGCCTTTGATAATATTGGAAAGCCATGAATTAGAAGAGGAAAGAATGGGAGATGATTACCAAAAAATAAAAAAACCCAGAAACAAAAACCCCACCCAGAAAAACCCATTAAATACATAATTTGCTTGCTGTTTATGTTTGTATTTGTTAAACTGTTGTTAGCTAATCTCTAGGCTTATATATTTCTGATTACTTCTTCCTCTGTATTACCAATTATGTCTGTTGCTATATTGCAGGGATTTTAAAAGTCTTGCCTCTCCTATTGTACTATGTCTCTAGCACCTGTAATGGTGCCTTCTGGGTTGGTGGGGCTCAATCAGTAAGTTAAATATTGCCTCAGGAGTTAATAGCCTACCAGGGACAATTCTTTCTCCAAACTTTTTTTTTGAGACTGAGTCTCACTCGTCCTCTGGGCTGGAGTGCAGTGGTGCGATGTGGGCTCACTGCAGCCTCCACTTCCTGGCTTCAAGCGATTCTCCTGCTGAGCTCCTGAGTAGCTGGAATTATAGATGCGCACCACCACGCCTGACTAATTTTTGTAGTTTTTGTGAAGATGGGCTTTTACTCTGTTGGCCAGGCTGGTCTTGAACTCCTGATCTCTAGTGATCTGCCCACGTTGGCCTCCTAAAGTGCTGGGATTACAGCCGTGAGCCACTGCACCTGCCTCTTTTTCCAAACTTTTTTTTTTTTTTTTTTTGAGGTGGAGTCTCGCTCTGGGTCCCAGGCTGGAGTGCAGTGACGCAATCTCGGCTCACTGCAAGCTCCGCCTCCAGGGTTCCCGCCATTCTCCTGCCTCAACCTCCCGAGTAGCTGGGACTACAGGCGCCGCCACCACGCCCGGCTAATTTTTTTGTATTTTTAGTAGAGACGGGGTTTCAGCATGGTCTCGATCTCCTGACCTTGTGATCCGCCCGCCTCGGCCTCCCAAAGTGCTGGGATTACAGGCGTGAGCCACCACGCCCGGCCT